CCTTAAGGGCCGCAGGGAAGACACCCTCCTGCAAAGAAGCGTTCACAATTCCCTGGAACCAGGCTCGTGTACCCTCCCGAGCTGCCAGTACCAGCCAGGAGGGACACGGATCCAACAAACATGTGGTTGCATTAAGCCTCCCCAAGACCCTGTCCACGTCCTCGGGAGCCACAGAGTCAAACTCCTCCCATACAACCATAATAATAATAATTATTATTATTATTATTATATAAGATAAGATAAGATAAGATAAGATAAGATAAGATAAGATAAGATAAGATAAGATAACCTTTATTGTCATTTTTTTTTACTGTGGGCACAACGGCACACATCAAAAATGAAATTTAGTTGCCCGCGCTCAAAGTGAAACACATACATGACACACCCTAAAAATATACTATATACAACATAGGTACAGACTCACACCCCTACATATACATAACAAATAAATATTAAATACTGTCCATCTTGAATATATAACGGAAGGAGGAAGCTTGAGAGTTCACAAGGTTAATGCTGTATGGAATGAAACTCTGGCTGAATCTGGACGTTCTGCAACGGATACCACGAAGCCCCCTCCCCCCAGAAGGTAACAAGGAAAACAGGTCGTGAAGAGGATGTGTGGTGTCCCAGATAATCTTACAGACCCTGCTCAAGCAGCGCTTCTGTGCTATGTCCTTGAAAACACGGTTTTTGTAGTACTGTTGCACTGGCTAGCTAACATGGGGGGGGGGGTTTGTATTTATTTGTTTATTTTCAATGGTATTGCAATTAATTTCCCATAAGCCTTAACCTTCAAGAAAAAGCCTCTTTCAGAAACCAGGACTGGCAGGAGAGCATTCAATACATTGTAGGTAACCGTTTCATGTTTAGTTCTTCTCAAGCCCCCATAAACAAAGAAAATAGTCCATCCAACCTTGGGAAGCACTGAGAATGTTATCTTACCCATTTTAATGTTTTTATTTTGCAAATGTTTCTTTTACATTTCGTCAGAATACAATGCTCTTTTCTAGGGCTATGCTCACATATTACTGCTGTAATGTAACTGAACAGGTGTCATGTCTCTTTCTAAAAAAACCAATCCAGGTTTGCTTTGAAGTTCTTTGTTCTGCTAACTATAAAAGTAAGTGTAATCCATTTCTCGAGATTTCCCCCTTCTCATGGGGAGACCGCACTTTATCAGAGTACTCTAATAAATTGCTTTTAAATGATCTTGGTTGCTTATTGGAAAAAAAGGTAAACTGAGGCAGAACCTAGGGCCAGATTTGGCCATCATGGTTAGAGAAGAATCATGCCTTCAAGTCTCCCCATGTCTATTTTGACTTTCTTCCATTCAAACAGGGGACTGAGACTGCCATGTTCCTTCTGGCCATTAAATAAGGGCTGCAGAATGTGTAGGAATGTGCATAAAGCATCTTTTGCTGAAAAAACAATCCTAATTTTTCCCCCAGGTGACACAGCAGTTTTGGAAACTCTTCCTGGGCTGTCTCTGCCCACGTGGAGATATAAGCAATGGAGGAAAACATTTTTTTTCCCTTGAAGGAAAGCAGAGGCATGTCCAGCAAAAACAGCCAGAAGACCCTCAAAGCTGTTGCAATGGCTTGGGGAAAAAGATGCTCCTATTTTAGCGATCTTTTTTTTTTTTTTTTAAGTTGTGCATTGCAGACATTCCTGCAAATTCTGCAGGGTTTCATTCAAAGGTTTCCATAATAGCTGTTTTCTTCTACAACATACGATTCAGTTAGGTCAGTCTTTTTTGAATAGCAGTTTTGGGGGATGTGGACCTTTGGAACGGTGATGTGAAGTTGATGTGTGGAACCCAGCTTTTCCCAACCTCACACTATGCCAGGGGTGTCAAACTGCCGGCCCTCACACTATGCCAGGGGTGTCATACTGAAACCGCGCCCACCCCATTGCCGGCAATGCAAAAAGAGTCGTGATATGTCGCGACACGTCATGCTGAGGAAGATTTATATAAACCCATTGTTTGCTGTTTTTTTAATGACATTTGTAGGCCCTTTTCATGGTAGAGTTCTGGAGAAATTGGAATGTTTAAGGGGATTATATTGGGAGGGAAGGAGGAGGAGGAGGAGGAGGAGAGGAAGGAGGGGGAAGAGATGAGACGAGGAGGATGATAAAAAGAAAGAGCAGGAAGACAGGAGGAGGAAAAAGAAAGGAGAGGGAGAAGAAAGAGGAACAGGAGGAGGAGGAGGAGGAAGAGAGAAAGAAGGATAAGACAAAAGAACAGAATGAAAAGGAAAAGGAAGAGAGAAGGAAGAGGAGGAAGAGAGAAGGAGAAAGAGATGGAAGAGACCAGGAGAAGGAAGGAGATGGAGAAGGATTGTTGTGGTCTTTTAGTGCACGCAAAAAATTAAGGTGCACCTTGAAAATCCACTTGTAAAAACTATAACTTAAATGCACAGCTGCAGCCATCTGCCAATGGAAGAAACCCCACCAATGGAATGCGTTCCCACTAGAATTAGCCTCTTACAATATCCTTGCATTCTGGCACCTTGCTGGGGGGAATACGGTAGGTGAATTCACCAAACACATTCAATACCTGGCTATCAGCCACGGAAGTTGTCTGGAACTCAAGAAAAACGCTACAGCAATAAGTTCAAGGCTAACAGAAGGAAGTCATTGTTCACACAGTTTAAACAAAACATTATTAACAAGGGATTCACTGCAGGGATCACACCTTGTCCGTGCTGAAAGATCTATCTTTGGTTCCCATTTGTTTTTTTGGATCTGGGACAAGATCAGATATCCTGCAGCAGCTGTTAGCATCTCTGCGGGCCGTTCATGAGATTTTCGGTGTTCCTCTTTTTAAAAAAAACAAAAATAAAAACAAAGGAATACCCAAACAAAACACCTGGCCTGGTGCCCTGACTGGAAATAGCCAAATTGAATAGGCATTTAATTTCCCACAGTTCTCCTAAAGCAGTCTTGAGCTAGGCACCGGTTGTAAGTCGCTGTTTGCTGTGTAATTTCAAACGGTCACTAAAAGAATGGTTGTAAATAAAAGACTACTTATATATGCAGCTCCCAAAACATTCCATGCAACGTAAATGTAGTCTTTTATCCCTAATGATCAGTGGTGGGATTCAGCCAGTTCGCACCAGTTCGGCAAAACCGGTAACTAAATTTTTGTTGTCCAGGCCCAGAATGGACTTCCAGAAGCGGCATCCACACAGAGAACCGGTTGTTCCCATATTTGAATACCACCACTGCTAAAGACTGTGTGTTCAAGCTGAGTATGTTCATATTTGAGTCAACAGTGTAGCTCAAAATGCAGCAGCTGCATTTTATGGCCAAAAATCAGGAATCTGGACTCATCTTTCCTGAGTAACCAATTT